CCGTTCACGTTACTATAGACTTGACAAGCTCTGCATAAATCGAAAACTGTGGAGAAACATCATGTAGCTCTGACGACCGTGAACAAACGCTCGTAAATTAGCCCAGTATAATAGTGGACCCAGAAGAATTCAATCTCCCCACTTGGCAGCTGGTGCCACTAACATTATTTGGTTTTCGGGTTTAGCTGGAAATTAGATTAAGAAATTCCGGAAAAAAAAAGAGAACACTATTTTTACTTCTTTTTTTTACCATTTTGTTAAAACTACTTTAAAAAATTGTTTTAACAAACCTGGGATTTTAGTTTGTCAAAATAATCCCAGGTTAAATCCTATATATTAGTCGAACCCTCTTACAGATGGACAAAACAAAGACCTCTTCTCCATTCATCTGGTTACAGTACAGAACCATCATCGATGTCGGCGTTCCCAGTCGGCAAGTATGCTCGCTACAAGCGCGCCACAGCCTTCTTCTTGGACTGGCTGGTGCGTGCGCGGGGTCGAGGCCGCTATGGAAGTCAAGAGTCAGAGCTGAACAAGTTGACGGCCGTCGTGGAAGAGATCGCAGCTGCACCAACATCTCTCACTCCAAAACTATTGAGTGAGTTCCCCAAGGCGCTCGCCGCCTGTCAGTGCGCCATCACGTTCCGTGAGCAAGTCGCTACTTACTTAGGAGGTGGAGATAGCGGTCATCGACACTTTTTAGGGCTCTTAAAGGGCTGGCAAAGGACTTTGAAAGTCGTTGAGAGTGAGCAAGATACAGCTGAGTCGGAGAGCACGCGATTTAAGAACTATTATGCAGTTTTAGAGGTGGATGAGGACTATTTCCCTGATGAAGGCCTATTTACTGTCGAGGCAGGAGCTCCGAGTAACGCTGAAGTGGACAGAGAACGGTTGTTTAATGAGGCCTTTGCTGAAGATCTGAGACTGGAAGTGGTATATTTCTTTTTGGAATTGGAGGAGCTAGTAGAAGGAGTTTTTAGTATCTTCAATCAAGTGAAAAAACAGCAACGCACAATGGTGGAGGCCACAGTGGTGTCTAAATTGGCTATTGATACTGCTAGTGCATTGACGGCGAAGCTCCAGTTGAGATACCCAGCGCTAAAGACTGCAGAAGACGTCCTACGTATCGTGACGGAAAATACACCCAAGGACTTTGTGGAGAAATTGGCGTATAAAGTCCGCGACGTGTGGACTAAATTCCAGAACAACGGAACATTGGAGTTCGTCCCAGGAATGCTTCTTGTGGACTTTATCAGTGTAAACAGAACATTGACAAGCTTCACCTCTGTCATCCCGCGTCAAGAAGGAGCCCATTTGACTCTTCGCGATGGCTTTCATGGGGAAACTTACGGAGAAGATCGGACCCCAGAGTACATGCTTCCAGACCCCACTAACCTCGTGGTTTTCTTGATGCAGCAGTTGCCATTACTATATAACACAATCACGGCAACGAAGCTGTGTACTGGCTCTGGATACGACGAATCGAACCTTGCAAGTTCGTTCTTAGCAGCAATAGATGAGTATTTCACGACCGAGGAGGTTACAGTGCCTATTGTGTTTACGTGCATCTGCTGGCTTAAATCTGTTGCTGCGCTCCAAGGAAATTCTGGTCTCGTTCGTAATGTGGGTCTTACGTTTAAGCACTCGAAGGATTTAATGAGAAACATGGAAACGACAGTGGAGAAAGGTGCAGTGTTCACTGCAGATAAGGGAATTCACCGAGGCTTAACGAAATGCGCAGAAGAGATTAAACTATCAAGTCGAGGGCACAACTTAGCACGCGCGAATCCTCTGATGGCAGGGTTCATGATGCTGACGTATCATTTCCACTATTCTCACATGGCTAGTGAGATTTTGATGGTGACGTCGAGATTTCGAGCCTTTGGTCACCTCTACAATGCGCTCATGGAGCAGAGATTCCTTCAACACATTCCGTTTTTCGACGAAGTGTTGAGAATCTACGACGAGATGATCTTCACGCCATCACGTGCTGCAGCGGTGCATGGCTCGTATAATCGGGCTTACCTACTGAGCTCCCACTTGACTGCAACCTCAGTCAATGCCATGTATCGCGGTGTGACTCCACCAGCGGGAAAAGAAGGAGTTAAAGTTCGGAAGGCGTTGCATTTCGAGGATTTATCCCAGATCTACCGTCTTCTTATTCAGAACGACAAGGCAGTGCTTGGTGGTGCGTCGTCGAAGGCGATGCTAAACAGAGCAGCAGATATTTGCTCGATGGAACTGTTCCAGACGCGAGTACTCTCCCGTGACATGCTGAAGCTCAATGACGACCTCACGGACGTGTTCTCTGAGATGTGTGATGCGTTGAACCAACGGCAGTACCACAATGATTATATAGCTGCTCGACCTAAGCGTGGCGAGACTCGTCAGTACCGAGTGAATCGCGCGTTAGAGGCTGCAGTAATGACGCCTTTGATGCCGCTCTTGGACTGTCTGCAGCCTGATGGATCGCTGGATATGAGTGCGATACCCACTCCACATGTCCAGATCGGTAATCTGAGTAGTCGTGGTATCAAGCTACTGTGTATGAAGGCTGCTGCTGTGATCAAAGCTAAGTTTGCGACGCCACCTCTGGTCTGCGAGAAGAAATACTTCACGTTCCCTTTTAAACCTGATTTCGTCAACCAAGAGTATGGAGCACCGTCGAGAGAGTTGGAGGGTCAAGCACGGTATAGTGTGTTTGATGGCCTTATGACAATGCTCGAAGAAAGCAATGGTCCTCTTTCTGGAGATAATCTGGAGATTCTCAAATCTGAACTGCGACAGAATCCAGATCTTCTGGCCATGAGAACAAATTCTCACTTATGGTCGCTATTCCACCAAGCAGCAGCTGGACCTGCACACGATGCGGACTTAGTGGAATGGATGATCCAGCTTGGAGCACTTACAATCCAGCCCTTGCACTGTCGATACAAATTGCAACGAGATGCTCCGTTTAATAGCGAGAATCTGCCCAACACTATGGCAGTTCACAGTGCAGCGATCGCAGGACACGAAGACATTGTCCGGATTATTCTTGAGGCTGACAATATGGTCGAGTTGAACACCCCCACGTATCATACGAAAGAAACGCTTGCTCATTTGGCTGTCAAGCGCGGACATCACAGGTTGTACGAGTTGCTGGTGCTGTTCGGAGCGGATCTTCGCATTAAAGACGGCAATGGCAGACGAGTGTGCGACGTGACAGCAGATCGAGAGTGGAGACGTGACATTGCAGCGTCCATTGCTGAGATCGAGAGATGCCAGAGGGAAAACGAGAGTAAAAGGAATCGCGACGGACTGTTCCGCCATCAAAGCGATCTCCGAGCTGACATTCTTCGCCGATCAGTAAATTCTCAGCGCGATGAAGAGCGACGACGTGAACTGGAAAACACCAACTCAAATGCGGCCAATACGACATCGAAGAAGAAGAAAAACAAAAAGAAGAACAAGAAGGGTAAAGCGACAGCAAATAGTTCTACTCCTGGTGCGTCAAGCTCCACAGTGACGGAAGATTCAGCGGGAGTATCAAGCTTGCTGAAGGATTTATTGGTTCCAAGCAGCTCAGAGACCGACGAGAATGATGATACAAAGCCGGCAGCGTTGCAGGAGGACACTGAAGAGGACACAGCTGCGATATTTGCTCGTCTGAGAGACCCGAACATTCCTGTGGACAATAAAATCGACGACGTGAAGCACGCTTGTGAACTAATCAAGAAGTTGGAGAGTTCCGTGATGGCTTCCAGTCACCCAAGTCGACTCAATTCCACAGATCGCCGCGATCGAATCACTCTCGTTTCCGTGGCGTTACAACTCATCCATTTGATGCAGAAACTCCATCGAGTCAACCACTCCGCTATCGCTGTCCCCGCTCTCTTACCTGTGCGAACACTCTGTGATACGACACTCAAGTTCACAAGTTTTGTCGTTGGAACAGCGCAACTTAGCGTATCCGTCAATAGGAAGCCTCAAGCTACGGAGATTCTGGATTTACTGGAGAAACGTTTAGTGAAGATGCCATTCCTTAAGAGAGAGCCTTCTGTGTATAGGGAGATGGTACAGACGTACTCTTCAGCTCGTGATGCGATGGGCTTAGGCCAAACGTCAAGCGCCGACATATTTCGTGCGTTGGAATGGTACTTAACCAACATTACGACTCGCTATAAAGTGCAGACAGCACTGGACAAGTTCGTTGGACGGCCCATGTATCTGGAATTTACGACTGTGCCAAGAATCACCGAGCGACAGTTCCGTCGCTTTGAAGCTGCTGTTGGGACTGTTCCAGAGTTGGAAGGCGTCGTGTGTCTGGGCAGCCGAGTCATGTACGGGGCCACGGAATTCGATGGTTTAATGCGCGTGCTTCGCGCTATTGGAGACTTGGCCCATAGGGAAAAGATGGCCTTTGCTCAGGAGACGATGCAGATCGCAGTGACTACGCTGTATGTTGGGAGGTTTGAGTTCTCGGAGAATGGCGTTGTCAAGTACGACGCTGCTGCGGCTTGAGATGATATTGCTGTTGACGCAGGTAAGGATTGACGCTGTTAAGATTGCAATACACTCTTGATTGTTCTGAGTTCTCAGCATCTAGTTTTTGTCACCACTCGGCACTTCGTACTGCGCCATGGCATCCACTTGCACCAATCGATTCGACTGCAACCAGCATGTATAGCGTCAATAACAAATTTCACTGGAAGTTTTTAATGATCTCACCGGGATAATATACGCTGTGAGCTTCCTCCCATAGCAGCAGCCTGTGTCTAGGCCTGTTGCAAAGCTCTCTTGCTAGAATACATCCACCACATCAGCACCAATCATAAATTCGTTTAAAAAAACGCCTTACCTGGAGTCCCGCGCTCGCTGCATGTCCAAAGTACACGTGCCTAGGTCCGTTCCATACTTTGGCCCACATTTCGGGCTCTCCACCGGTATCGGACTTGAACTTTTTCTTCTCGAGCGCCATCCATTTGGAAGTATCATCGCCCGCCTTCTCACGCTGTACGAAGCGCATCTTGTACAAATCAACTGGTCTCTGATCCTCTAGCTCTACCTCTGGCACCACGCCAGCATGTACCACAATGATGTTGCCATGATTTGGCAGCGACACAGAGAACGGTAGCTGCTCGAGGAATTCCACGTCCTCGGGCTGGAATTGCTCAACGTATGGATACTTGGCTGAGCCGGAGACACGACCGCCACGTACCCATTGGTAGAATGCACTCAAAGCGGCATCGTCGTGGTTTCCACGCACGCAGAGCGAGCCGGAGTCGCGCACGAAGCGCACAACATCCAGATTCTTGGTGCCTTTGTTGACCAGGTCCCCCACGAACATCAGACGGTCATTTTGAGGCGAGAAATTGCAAGCATCCAGCAGCAGCTGCAGCTCATTGAAGCAGCCGTGTACGTCACCGATGAGTATCAAGCGCGTAGATGCAGCCACATCGTCGGCTACGTGGTGTACAACCGCAGGAAGAGCCACGTCAGGGTGCGCTTTCTCGAAAGCCATAATGGAGGAATGCACTGGAATCAGATGGACGAGATCTGAATCTGATTCACAACAACTTTTGGCGTTTCTGAGTCGGGCAGCACTTCAACATGGAGTTCAGAGGTTGAGCGGAGCTACTGCATTGCTGGCGTTAGTCCGGACACAAAAGCAAACTGAATGCATCGCGCTAAAGGAGATTGCAGCCTTAAGAGTACAGGGCGCAGAAGAAGAGACCGACAACGTCTTTAATCGATCTTTACTCGAGAAATCTTCAAACGACCACCGACAACCACAGGTCGTGCATGCGATTTCGACGAGCGCACATGGCTACTCCGGACGTTGTTTATATGCAAGTGCTACTTGACAAGGCCGCTGCCAGCTGGGTGGGTCACTTGGCAGTTCACTGGCAAATGCAGTTAAGTTGTCAAGGCCTCGGATTTGGAGCGCTCAAAGGATCAAACAGTGGTGAATGACTGCGAGTCCAGAGCGTGTCACCCGACCAGCCCGCCGCGCCTATCGATGAGCAGCGCGACGTACTATCTCAGCCGTACACCCAGGAGCAGTGGTGCTGGTGCTGCGAGCACCCTTCGCGGCACATCGCAAGAGGAGCTTAAAATTTCTCCTCGAGGCGAATAGAGCGATAGAGCACAAATTTATCCAAACCATCGCAACTCTATAAGCTGAGAAGGCAGAGCGTGTTCCAGAGCTTTGAAACGCTTCGCTCTCACGGACTGCAACGCTCTCTCCTCATCAAGACTCGAAACGTCGAAAGTGTACGTCGTTTTTGGTGTTTGCGGCATCGCTCTACAATTAGCAGCCAGCGGCAACGTGTGTGCATTTGCGGCTCGCTCTACTTGGAACGTTCGATTGCCTAGTGCAGGTCGCAGTGTCGGCCCGCCCTATTTCTGCCAGTGGCGCAGACTAGGGCTCCAGAACAGACAACCGCAGTTCATGGCCGAGCGTCGTGCTTGCATGTTGGCTGTGCGTTTGCCAACATCTGACTCTCCCAACACATCCTTTCAAACTACATACACAATTCCATCACATCTCTTACAAACTATATTACTTTTCAACTTGATATCGTATGTACCTTCATAATCGAAAATACATCAATTCTTGTAGTCTATGTACTTCACATAGAGAAACACTGCTAATCAAGGCCCAAGCACTTCGCAACACTGCGCTAAAGCTACACCCGTCGCATTCCTCAACTTCTATTCCGCTCGCTTAAAGCCTCGTACAAGTAAGTAGCCTTGACGCCCATGAGTCGACTGGTGGTCGCCATCGGCCACGTCGAGTTCACGGGCGGTAGAGAGGTCCTATACGTCGTCAAGGTGCAGCAGGACGTCGACGAGTGGGAGGTGCGCCGCACGTACTCGGACTTCCGCAAGCTGCGCGACGATGTCCAGCGCGTCATGAAGGACGCGCGTGCGCACATCCTGGACGACGCATGCTCGCGCGAGTTTGCGCGCGAGTTGCAGGAACTGCCGTTCCCAGCCAAGCGGCTATTCGGCAGCAAGAAGGACCACGTGGTCAAGGAACGCGCCGTGGAGCTGCACCGCTTCCTCATTAAGCTTTTGTTCCTCACGCACAAGTACCGCAAGGCGCAGAAGGCGCGTTATGATCAGTATATTCAGGCACTACCGGCTCACCAACAGGCCGCGTATGCGGCGCTGCAGGACCGCACACAGGCCAGCGTCAGTGTGTTCTATCTGTTGCGAGACTTCTTAAAGCCGATTACGATCAAAACGGACGTACCGCCGCACTCAGGAGACTTATTGGGGTCCGCAGGAACGGGCAATAACAACGGGACAGGAGACGACGGCGACAACTCGCCTACGCGACTCATCCGAGAGAGCAAAATCTTGGCTATGAGGAGCTCCAACCCCAGCAGCGAGAAGAAGAGCCGCGAGGCTGAAAAAATGCAACAAAAGCGCAGAGAACAGCAACTGGGACAACTACGCAAAGAACAACACAAGCAACAACCTGTGGAACACAAGAACGAGGCCGTAAATCCTGCTAACGACACGTCGCTTTATGAGCGTAATAGTACTCCAAAAACAGCCAAAATGAACGACTTATTGGCCGCATCGGAACGTTCCAAGGCTGAAGCCAACTCCCTACGTGACCAGTTCTTACAGAAACAACACAGCACGTCAGCACTGGCCAATGAACACCGGAAACAGCGACATTATTCGACGCCTGACGGTACTACTGGCGAGTGGAAAAACCGCAGTGCACGGGCAATTACTTCTGCTACAACAGCGAGCTCAGTGGCGTCTTCACATGACGAATCCGAGCCGGAGAAGGAGAAATTTATCTCGTCTTCAGCCACTCCGTCCTCGACGTCCTCGACGGCATCTGTTGAGGAAGTGAAGCTCGTGGATTTGTCGTCTCTGGCGCAATACAAGACCAAGAGAAGCTCTAGAAGAGGCAGCCACTCCAGTGACAAGTCCAAGTCGTCTCACAAATCCACAAGCAAAGAGAAACGTGCCTCACGTAAAGAGAAGAAGAGTCCGTCGCGTACGAAGAGGAAGGCCAAGTCGGCCAAGAACATCCAGATGAGCGACTCTGAACGCATGTCCCGCGTCAGTTCAGCGCTGAACGCTCAAGCCATTTCGATCAATGCACAGCGAGAACTGGAAAAGTATCTGACTGAGTACAGCGCCATCATGATCTTACGTTACGTGGACCGGTTTATCAATAAGGCGGTGATGAAAGCCCCTGGTTGTTACCGTGTGAATGCACAACATCGACTGGTTATTGATGGACAGAGATTCCTCCAAGAACTGGAAGAAACCTTTACAGATCTGCCGAATAACTTTGGTGAATTATTCCGTGTCGGAGCTCCTGGAGACTCGGATGAGTATGGTTTCCCTCCAGCATTGGACAAGTACGTACAGTTGAAGTGGGATTCATTCCAAGCTATGGGCAGTAGCAGTGTCAGTCACGATAACGGACACAGCAGTGCAGCGGATCAAACTTCGGACTCGGATGATTCAGATACGGAATACGAGTACGAAGAAGTGGGCGGAGGCGGCTACATGACGGCCAAGCAGCAGTTCTCGAACGATGAAGAGTCCATGTTGCAAGAAATGATTGCCAACGGTACAGCTGGACGCGAACAGATGCTGCGACTTCGACGTCAAATGAACGAACAAGGCTGGAATCGGCGTGAGAATCCAGGGTCTCGATCGCACCGCGTGATCGAGGAGGTTTCATCGTCCGACTCGGATGAAGAGGCGGTAGCTCGACAGAGAGAGAAGCGCAGATCCAAGCGACGTGAACCCAAGCGGAGCGTGTCCTGCGTGGTGGAGAAATACCAGCAGGAGCAGAACGCGAGACGGAAGGACCGCCTCAGTCGAGTGCAGAGTATGGGCGGTCAGAGTATTGGCGGTTTTGTGTAAAATACATTCAAGCGAGTGGTGCAGCGATCAGGAAGCGAGAACTTTGAAACAGCACCAGATTGAGGCGTCTACGAGCCTCTTCGATCCAGCCCCATGGTGTCGCCATCGCGCTAAAAACATTGATGGAATAAGTGCAGTAACAACCACACAATCAACACGTCAGCAGTCTTTCTCTTTTTTTCGTTCTCCTTGCTCCTCTACAAAATCTCGAGTCAGGTTACTGCCGTGGTGGTGGAATAAGGATAGTCGAGCGGCTTTGCTAGATTTTTCGAGTTTATCTGCATACAGGCGGAGCTAACACTGGCGTAATAGACTGTATAAATCAATTAGCGTTATGCTGACACGTTCGATCTGCCAACGGATACTGCAGAAAGCCAGCAGCAGCTTCTTTGCGACGTTTCAGTATAAATTATAGAAGGTAAAATTACTTCAAATCGCGACTTGCCGCTTAAATTTGAACCAGAATATAAAATATTATAATATCCGTTTCATCGTTCCAGTTCTAGCGTGATGCTCAAACGTCTCTCACCTTCGTCATTGGTGCCGTTTGGAGATAGCTTTTTCTGCTCTGTTCAGCTCAATGCAAGGCAGATTCTTGTCAGCTTCTCGCTGCTCGGTCCCATTTCTGAAGTGACCCCCTAACTGCAGCGGAGAGTGCTAAATCTCCACTGCTTTACTTTCTCCAGCACTCTGACTGCTATCAGAGTACACTTGGCGCGGCATGACACATTGGCGTACGTTGCAAACTGGTTGCGGTTTTGCCTTGCTGACTCTCAATGAGCTGGCAGAGGCCGTGACGGTCAACATGGCTGAGGTGAGCGTGTGCCAGGATGCCACTTTTCAGATTCCGACAAGTCGGGGAGCAGTGTGCTCAGGATATGGTGGTGCACAGCCTATCGGTGTGCAATGCCCTCGCGTAGGTGACACAGCCTTGGATGCATGTCACCCGTACCTTGACAGCTTTAACGGCGTCAATTGCGTTGCTAAAGAGGATGCTCAGTGTGTTCGTCTTGAAGGGAGACATGCCTGGGGCTGCACATTTCCGTCGACGTGGTGCGCTGATATGTGGAAAACTCCAGAGGAGACTGCACATGATAGCTGTCTAACGTGGGAGTTTTACGAAGTTGCTTCGAATGTGGACCTCTTTGATATTGCGATTGAAGACGCTGTTGACCCCGCATGGTTTACCAAGACGTCAAGAGTGACAAAGCTTTACAACTGCAAGACTGACTCGCCAGCCGTAGTGCCAATACAAGATACAGCAATACCAACTACTCCATCAGAAATCCCGGTTTACACCATGGCGCCTGTAGTGACAAATACTAATGCTCCTCAGGTCGAAACGGTGGTAGCAGCTATTGTAGAAGCTCCAGTAATTGTGACCTCAAGGCCTTCAGAAGCACCAGTGCTGACCGAGCAGGTAACGGCGATTCCTGTCGTCCAGGAATCTCCAGTACCAACGGAATTAACGTCGTGGGCGCCGATAGTGGAGTCGCCAGTCCCGACAAATCCTCCTGAGACTTCATTGCCGATTGCATACCTTGAGCCTACACCGACTGAGACTTTTGCATCTATTTCACCTACATCAACACTTGTACCAGAGGAGTCAACATCAGCACCTCCAGAAACACCAACGAGTCCACCTGCAACTGAAATTCCCACGGTGACTCCATTCACCGATGAAGTGGAGACTTTAACTCCGACTTACGAGACTCTTCTACCAAGTACACCAGTGCCAGAGCTAACACGGATTCCTCAAACAGAAACATCAACTGTACCGATAACGACTTCACCTCCAGTGCCAATCACCACGGCTACGCCCTGGTATCCGACACAAACACCACCAATTGTTCCTGAAACTTATGAGCCTGCGTCAACGACTGCGCCGCATATCGCAACATTACCGGCGACTGAAATGCCTCAGCCTACTGAAATTGCTACCCCTGGACCAGCACAGGAGTATTCTCAGACACCGTTGGCCACTGCAACTCTAGCGCCAGCATCTACTCCACCCACAGAGACTACTTTTCCACCTTACGGTGTAGAGCAGGAGCAAACTCCCGAATCAACGCCGTACCAGCACATTAACGACACTCCGTGTCCGACGGAGACGCAAACCTTACCACCCATTGCCACCATTCCACCAGTTCCTCTAGAGACTGATGCACCAACGTTATACCTGACGCCGTCCACAGTTCCTATCGACAATTCCAACATGCGAGGTTCAGTCGATGATGATACCGAGGAAACGCTGATCTCACCACCAGAGCCACCATTATATCCGGCTTCGGCTCCAATAGTGCCGTTAGCCCAAACAACGGCCCCCACCGAGGATACTCCTAACAACACTCAACCAACCACGACCGAGTCGCCGGCAACGGAGACGCCATGCCCGGAAGAACCGGCCACAGATGTTTCGACAGCAACAAGTGAGGCACCAACACTACAGACACTGCCTACCAAGATCACTTCGACAGAAATACCAACGACCACAGAGGACATTCCTTATACTACTCAACCAGTCACGACCGAGTCACCGACAACGGAGACGCCATGCACGGACAGACCAACCACAGAGGTACCGATCATTGAGACACCAACAAGTGAAGCACCTACGATAGAAACACTGCCAACCGAGACCCCTTCAACAGAAGAATCAACGACCGAAGCACCAGTCCCTACTTTTCAGACTTCTTATCAGCAGCAAGAAGACCAGGACTATCAACAACCATTAGATATTTCATATCCTCCAGCTACAACGCCGGTCTCAACTGAAGCTCCGACTGCTCCAGTGTTCGCAACATCAACTTCTGCTCAACCTGCCGAGACACCATGTGCTACAGTGACGCAAACCGCGCTTCAGGCTTCAACAGAGTCCAGCCTCACGACCATCGCGTCTGTTGGCATTTCAGCTACAGCAATGATCGCAATTATCATCGTCATAGGCACCATTTTGGTCGTGACGATTGCAATCTTTCGAGCTCAGAGCCGCAGTAACCAGCCACCACCCAAGGACCCTGAAAATCGCCATTTCGAGCACAGTATCGTGCTCACTCCGTCAAACTTCTGACAATCTATATATTCTACTCATCCGTGCTAGGTTACAACTGTAATGTTTCTTACCACTTAAAAAAATAGAACCCCTGAACCAGATAACAGTCCTCCAGAATCTCTTCCTTCGTCCCAACTCCAAAGCGGATAAGAACCTCGAGACGAATACGTAATTTAGGGAAATGTATTGCCGTCGAGTCTCCCTGAACTGCACAAACGATTTTCCTTTGTCGACAAGCCATCGCTTCATCTCGATGCTGCCACTTCTTCGCGTCGTGACCATCGCAGTGGCGGTGGCAGCCACAATCTGTGCCCCGGTCGAGGCAGCCAATCTTCGTGGAAGTGCCAGCGTCCCCAAGTACGACTGCAGTGCCCCACCGTCGATTTATCAAGGCTCCGTGAAATTCTCAAACACGACTCCGGGTTCGACGGCAACATATTCGTGCATGAAAGGCACGAACATGAAGGGATCGGGAACACTTCGCTGCACGAACCAAGGCATTTGGTCGCCACAACCGCCTGAATGCCGCGTCACGTACCTGGCATCAAGGGACAACACGTTCAGGAACCACGACAGTGGGTATGCACTTTACTCCGGCTAAGGATCTCGATAAAATACCATAAAATCCATCCAATTGAATATCGTGTTACGATACTTTAGTTTCCATCATATATCCAATTGGGTCGTCTTCATAACATATGGACAGTCACTAGATCTTCACACAGTCTTCTTGCTGTGCGCGGTCTTCTTGATCGGCACGAAGGTAAGCAGCAAATAGCAGACCACGAGGCCGACGTGGCCAGCGAAGCGCATGGAGCGGAAGCCTGCAACCGCGTCTTCCCACGACAGCACTACGAACGAGACGGCCAGGTAGTTTACAACCATAGCCGTACAGATCATACCGACGAGGTCGTAGAGCGGCTTGATCGGGCTGTCCACAACGTACGGGCGCACGTGACGTCGAGCCAGGCGGTTCACAGACGTAGCAAGCGGCACAGTGAGGAAGAACAGATAGTAACCCGGGTAGAACCCGTGCCACAGAGCCGACACAGAGTACGTAGCCAGCAGCGAGTTACCCGTGCGGGTATATACATAACGCTCCAGCCAGTTCTGCGTGCCTTTATTCCAAGCACGTGAGATCTCACGGACATTGGCGCCAAGTTCGAAGCCCAAGATGTCCACATTACTGACGCCGTCCCAGCCCTTGGGGTTGTTCTGCTCGTCGAATCCTTCGAATCCAGTGCCTGTTAGCACAGTCGCTCCCTCGGCCAGTTTCCACGCCACGTAATACTTGGCACGAGTCAAGAACAAGGCGACAAACAGACGCCCCCACTTCATGAGCATACTCTGGTTTTCATCGCTCAGAATCTCGTTCAAGTCCGCCAGTGCTCCGAACTGCACTAAGAGTCCCATAAGTCCAAGACCCAGCAGTAACTTGGACAGCGCTGCACGCGCAGGGGACACATTACGTCGGACACCGTTCTTGTCCACAAACCGGGTCTGGTGAATCGCGTCACTGTACTCTTTGTACTCGAACGCCGGACCGGCCAGGAACGTCGTAAAGCAGTAGACGAAGCCCAGAAACTCCAACAGCGACGGGATCTGTGGGATCGCCAGTTGCTTACGCGAGTTTTTCACTCTTTTAGTGTGCTCCGAGTCGCCGTCCTGCACTGCTGTGGCACTGGGAACGACACCGTCGTGGTAGTTGAAGGCGAAGCTCGTGAGCTTGATGAGCAGCAGCATCTGACTCGCCGTTGAGTCCATACTCCAGCCCATATAGTTGACTCGCATGCGGTGGATATGCAACGCCGCCACGAACAACATATTGGCGAGAAACACCACGAATGGTGCGCGCTTGGGAGGCAGTACACACACCAACGCGTACGTGACAAGCGAGGACAGTAGCGAATGTAGCCATCCTGTTCCATAGACGAACTGGGCGATGCTCACACCAGCGCAAATGTGCAGCCAATGTTTGGCCGTGATGGACGGCAGCTTGCGGACCACAATTGCCAACGGGTAGACGGCCAGCAGGCAAGCGACGCAGCGTAGTTGGTCCACGGGAACGCCCACAACCTCCGAGAGCTGTGTGAGCCGCTGGTTTAGCATTGCGAATTGCAGTGGAGTGGCTGCATCGCTTAACATCGAGAGAACCTGAGAAGCCATGAGTGCCAAATGCGAGGCAGAAGCAGGAATGAGAGGCTGCGAGAATGGCCTGGATGCAAGTTGATGTCATGTGCGACGTGTGTCGGATGACGCTGTCGTTTTATACAGTTGTGGAGGTAGGCATGGTAAAGATCTGCGAAGTAATGGTGCAATCAATTCAATATATGATATTAGTATATAGTATAAAACAGGTTCTAAAGGGCCACTATTTGAGTCGGCCCGCGTCACTGCCCATGTTGAAGAGCTTTGTCTACCACGCGTGACTGGCTCGCAGCGCGCCATTGCTGCATTGTGTCGAGAAGAGAGACTGGTTTCAAGTTCTGCTTGGCTCGCAGAAAGTTGAAGCCTTTGCTTTGCTGCTGTTTCGGTGATCTACACATTTGGGGTGGTGAGGATGACTAGCGTCATGCAAATATCACTTCGCGGCCGACGTTCGATAATGCTGTCGCAAGGTGCCTATTATTCTCCAAGATTCAACGAGCGACGAGAGGATAGCAGGAGCCTCGCTCGTATCAAACACAGAATTATTAAACTTTGGAAAACGCCATTGCGTCGAGGCAAAGAAGGCATTTCCGGCGATTCCGCCGTTGTTAAAACACGCGAATCTTGGGCAAGATGTTCGCCTTCAAGCGCCGGGGCGCAATGACGTAGGTCGGACAGCGAATCGATGTAACATGTATACACCGATAAGTATACAGCACGAGGTGCTTCTGTCTCCACTCGTTGGAGCTGCTGATTGCCGGTGATGGCCAGTATCTCAGAAGTTGTGGCGTCAGCGCTTGTGGGCCTTGGCTCATATGGGGTATCGGCGCTATTTCAACAGCCAACCTCGATCTGAAAAATGACCGTTCTGGTGGAAAAGGCTCACTCGTACACTATCAATCCTAATCATGATGAGATTTTGCAAGAAGGGTCGATTTGGTGAAAACTACTACTTGTAGTTGTCACCGCGTTGTTAGCCAGAAACCCTTCAGCGTTCAGTGGAGCATTAACAAGTAAGATCAAATTTAAACAAACCAGACGAAATAAAAAAATGATGAAACTCTAGCGCAGCCAATGTCGGTTTTGCTCGTTTGTGAAAACAATAGTCATGGCCGTGTACATTAGCATCGATTGCCATAATATACGTCCTTGAAAACAGCAATTTACTGACCGCAGACCGAATGATTTAGCCGCAGTACCAACCGCAATTGTCGCCAACCAATGACAATTTTGTTTCTACAGTATGATTTGTACGTATAATAATCCGGAGTCCGGATTATTGCGTATAGTATCCGTACACGTTTTTGTAGCGTACCTGAGCTGCTCGCCACTCAGCCATCGGACTCGTGCTTCAGCCCCCCTTGGCACCTTGAGCACCAATGGACCGCGTCGTGGACATCGTGGAGCACCTACAGCCGTACGCGGAGCTCGCCACTCCTCTGGACTTCAGCTTCCTCCATGCTAAAGTGGACGAACTATCCGCTACTTTAGGTCTGGGCAGCGACCAGCTCTGCTACGTGCTGTGCCTCTTTGCCGCGTATCCGCTCGCTGTCGTGTACAAACTGCTGCCTGGTGCCAGCCTCAAGCACGTGTTTGACGTGGTGCTGGGCGTGAGCATCGCCCAGTTTGTGCTGGGCTCCGGCTGGGTCCACTCGTTCATCTCGAGCTTCCTGACGTACTTGATCGTCAAGTTCGGCCCATCCAAACACGCGCCGGGCATCGTGTTCCTCTTCAACATGCTGTACATGTCTGCGTCGCACATCTACCGTCTGTACGTGGATTACATGGGCTGGACACTGGACTTCACGGGGCCGCAGATGCTGCTGGTCATCAAGCTCACGAGCTTCGCCTACAACTACTACGACGGCGTGGTGGACAAGACGTTTGAGAAGAAGGGAGCCGAGATGTCTCCCGGCAAGAAGAAAGTGTACGAAGGCCGCCAGAAACTCGCTATTAACGAGATCCCGTCGCTGCTCGAGTTTTTCGGCTACGTGTACAGCTTCACGACGTTCCTGGCCGGTCCGGCGTTCGAGATCCGCGAGTATCTGGATGTGACGAGCGGCAAAAAATTCCTCGTGGATGGCAAGTACAAGCAGCCGTCAAGTGTGCTGGCTGCGTTCTCTAAATTCCTGGTTGGATCGCTACTGATGGCTGCGTTCGCTGTGTACGGACCCATGTACCCGCTGTCGAACCTGCACGACCCCAAGGTGGCTGCCCAGCCGCTGTTTTACCAGATCCGCGACCTGTATATTACGCTGATCTTCTGCAAGGCCAAGTATTACTCGGCCTGGAAGGTATGAATTTGCAATTATTTTTATTTGATATATTGATAGTTATTTAACGCTGTGGATATTGTAAATAGATTGCTGAGGGCGCGACGGTGCTGTGTGGCTTCGGATTCGAGGGCTTCAGCAAGGACGGATCCAGTCGCGGCTGGAACGGTGTGAGCAACATGGACATCCTGGGCTTTGAGTTCTCGCAGAGCATCCGTGCTGCTTCTCGCGCCTGGAACAAGGGCACGCAGAACTGGCTGGAGCGCTACGTGTACACGCGCACTGGCAATTCGCTAATGGCCACGTACTTCATCTCGGCCTTCTGGCACGGCTTCTACCCGGGCTACTACATTTTCTTCATGAGCCGTACGTATTTTCAGCTATTGGCGAATTGGAGAGGTGGTTCTAATCCCAATTATTTTATTTGCTTTGCAGTGCCATTGGCTACGGCTGTGAACCGTCTGGCCTTCAAGCGTCTTCGTCCGCGTTTCATTGAGGCCGATGGATCCTTCGGAGCCAAGAAGAAAATCTACGACGTGCTCAGCTACCTGCTGACGCTCTTCGCCATGCACTACTTCGTCATGCCATTCCAGGTATTTACAACTATTGCTTATTTTTTTATTGTTGGATTCTAACTTATTGGAATTATTTTATTGCAGGCTATGTCGTGGGAGCATTCTCTCGCTTCGCTGAAAAACACGTACTTCGTCGGCCACATCGCAGCTGTGGTGCTGTACATCGTGTTCTCGTGCATCCCGGCGCCGAAGCCCAAGAAGAAAACCGAGTAGAAGGATGGAGGTCAGAGTAACACGCCTTTGATTGCAAGTGCTGTACTTCATCGATCCTCCTCGAGAGGAAGTAGAAGGCGATAGAATAATGCAAACAAGGTAGAAGTTTACATTTTCTTTCCGCTTTACCATGCTCTAAAGTTCGTTGCGGGATGCAACCACCTTGAGTTCCTTGCAAAAGCGTTGCACTGGGAAGCCAATGACATTGTTGGTGCAGCCGTGAACCTCCTGGACGAAGCACCGCGCGCGTCCTACATCCATATTCGTTTAAGACCAACTTTTGACACGTCAAACGTCGACACCCACCTTGTAGTCCGTAAGATCCGGCCTTGTCCATGGGCTCCCCCGTTGCAATGTAAGCTGCCACAGCCACATCACAGTAAACAAATGAGTATACATCATTGATACACTGCCACATTATTCACTCACCGCGAATATCCTCCGGCTCCAGTGGACCGAAGACCAGACTGGTCTTTTCAAAGAATAGGTGCGGGTTGTCCACGCCCCTCTCAGCGGTGAAGAGCGCTACGCCAGAGAACACCTCGTGCGGGCGATCGGACAACTTGGCCAGCATGTTGAAGGCGTCCTCCTCGTCTTTGGGTTTTTCGAGGATCACGCCGTCCTGCACCACAACTGTATCACATCCAATCACAACCGTTGGGAGCTTATCGTCCTTGTCTCTGGACACGCGGTTTAAAACCTCTAGAGCCTTTTGCTTGGCGTTCTCGATCACATAGAGATCGGGTGTCGGGAACCGCTCCTTGGGAAGGTTTTCCTCGAAAGTGGATGGGATTACTTCGAAGGTGAGACCCTGTCATGAATTGAGGTCCAGAATGGATGGTGAGAAGACGATCTGTTGGTGCGCGAGAGGGGTACGAATTGCAACCCCTGTATAGACTATTAACGTACGCAGTCACGGAGAAGTTCCAGACGACGAGGACTCTGCGATGCGAGGATCACACGACGACTGCGGAGTCGGTTGGGCAAGGCTGACAACATGACACGATAAAAATGTTTTTGCTCCTGCTTGTGCTGATTATCAAATGATACAGAATTATGTGAGTGATGGTCATTTCTAAAATTTACACAGACGTTCGGTTTGGGTCATTTTGCTCAAATTATACCCAAAAATAAGCTTCTCTTACCAAAACAAAAAAATAATAAAAAAATAGCCACTGCAATCATCCTTATCATGAAAACACTTTAAAAAGGTCAAACACAGCCATGTTACCCGCTTATTTAATTCAGCGCCAAAAAAGGTCGAGTAGTAGTGCCCTACCATGGTGTCATTCAAAGGCTTGCGAGGAGAGATATCTCGCCTCGTCAGCAGCTTGACCGGCCATTAACACGCACAAAAAAATGTAGGCATACATGAGTAGAACCGAACTAAGCGCGGAGGGCACGCTTGTTGTCGTTTTGATCATAGTCATGACCATGCTCGTCGTCCGGGCAAGGGGTTTCAGGCGCTGGTGTTTCTGGGCATGGGGTCTCCGGTGGCGGTGTCTCTGGGCACGGTGTTTCCGGGGCCTCAGTGTCCGGACATGGCGTGGTGGGCGCCGGTGTTTCTGGGCATGGGGTCTCCGGTGGCGGTGTCTCTGGGCACGGTGTTTCCGGGGCCTCAGTGTCCGGACACGGCGTAGTTGGTGCCGGTGTTTCTGGGCATGGGGTCTCCGGTGGCGGTGTCTCTGGGCACGGTGTTTTCGGGGCCTCAGTGTCCGGACACGGCGTGGACGGAGCTGGAGTACCCGGGCATGGGGTGGTCGGTGCCGGGGTGGGGTAGTCGTCCTCGCCGCATTTGGTGGCAGCAGGAGTCACGTCAGGAGTATAGGACTCGTAGGTTGTCGGACACGGAGTAGCCGTGGTTCCAGAGACCGACGGGAAGACACAGCCCCACGTGTCTCCGAGCACGATGGCGCACTTAGCGTCCTCCTTGGCAGTGCACTGCTTGCCGTCGAAGGAGAAGAGGTACGAGTGGCAGTCAGCCGTAGCCACGTCGCCCTTCAGTGGGCACGCAGTGCCGGCAGGGGCTTTACCAGCACCGGAACAGATCGCGCCGCGTGACGACGGAATGGTATAGGTAGCATCGTACTGCACCGACACCGGCAGATCGTAGGTTGCCATGCCGGTTGAGCACAGTGAGGCGAGCACTATTGGGAGATGAAGGCGAACCATGGTCCAAAGTCCGTGCGGGAGGCAACGGTGCAGCTTGAAGTCGAAGTTTCAAGTTCGAAGAAGAGATCAACTGCTCGAAGGCGAGCAAATTGAAAAGTGAGCAGCAAGATGAGGAGGGCGGCTGGTCAATTTTTTGTGGGTTGTCTCTGAGTAATGGAGACCTTGAGTCTTGATATCCATGGATAGCTGAACCCATGAGTCACTCTGCCGCCGTTGCAGCAAGTCGCCGCTCTAGTAAGTCGCTGGCAGGCTATCAAGATTCGCCTGTCATGCCGCATTTGCTTCCAGGACTGGCGTGCTGTGAGAAACGGCTTGCGGCGTCTGGCGCTCTGACGGACAGTAGTAAAGCGGTATTGACTTGGACTTGTATGGTAATTGAAAGGGCGTCACCTTTGTTGAAGTTGTCAAGGCCTGCGTAGGCAGTGGATGCAAGACGCGCATTACTTCGAAGCAAAACGTTTTAGGCTGCAATCCGACCTGAAGCTCTACTAGTATAGCCGCCGCAACACTTGGTAGCAAGCGCTGTTGTCGCGCGGATATGGAGTCCAGGGCATTGCGTGCTTCGGGCACTCCGGATCTTACCCGCGCCTCCGGGGTCGAGGATTCGGACGTGCAGTACGACAATCTTTGAGCAGCTCACGAGCTGGGTGATGAGCTCAATATGATCAAGAGTCATAATCCATGATTCATGACTCATGAATCAAGACGCGTAATGGAAGTCAGGCGAACCCAATAGGTTCAAGAAACAGCGCGTGGATCAAAATTTTCACTGGGTGAACGTGAACAAAGTGCCTCCACGCAAGTGCTGCAACTTGCAACCGGCGAGTTTCATTTTATTTGCCTCATTGTAGTCATCGCGCTGAGGTGTCTGTGCTCCTCACGGCTTTGCTTAGTGGGCAGTACATGGGGCATGTTGTAGTCAGCAAAAGGCCAAACCCAAACAGCGATTTCAAGCGCCCAGACTCGTGTTGGCCTACCAGATTCTTTTTGATTAATTATCCGAACTATGCACTAGTTCAGCCTTGAAAAATGTAAGTGGGATGCATGCAGGATGTAGGTTCTATATCTTCTGTGCAATGTGGATGCAAGCACATCTAACGGCGGTACATTTGCTAGTAATCAGCATTTGTGAAATCTAAAAAGTTAGATACAATACATTCTCCTACTCCCGTAACATCACTATCGGAAAAAATATATGCCAGCGTACCAGCTTTTGATTTCTCATAATATTTTTTTGACTAGCGTAACTAGCAAGCCACTCAAAAAGCAGCAGCTGGCAACGCGTTTTGACAAAGAATAAATAACGCGGCGTACTCGCTGTACACGGACTGTATAGCCAGCTACACGGGTAAATAACAGTTAGGCGGTGTCTAATAGAAAGTGCTAACACGTAACTAGACAATGAAAACTACGGATTCTGCACTAAACTGGAGCGCCAAATTGTTTTTACCGATCTGTGATGATTGCTTCGACAAACTGGAGTGGAGGGGTTTATTTTATCCGGAATAACGGACGAGACTATTACGAATAATGCGCAACACCATAAAAAAGTAAATTGGTACAGCGTGCTCCCACGACAACAAACCTGCTTACAAGCAGTTAGCTAACATAGTACTTTCAGATTGTTAGTGTCTAGTAAATTTTACTAACAGATAAACGCCCTACACTAGTGGATGCATAAGTTTTAATAAACTTGTAGTGCATCGTCGCTGAAGTCTCTTGTTCTTTTAGCAAGAAGCATATTCGTGAAGTATGTTCGAACCCTCGAAGTCACATATAGCGCATTCACTGAAAACACCGAGATTATCGCCAATATGAATGGGTTTGCAGCCACGCGCACGGTCTAATGCGAGTTCGATATCAGCGATCTCGAGAAGCTCGTGCTGTCGAAGGACTGCGTGTTATACTACTGCGGCCGTGCTGACGATGTTCACATCACCCAGTAGGCTGTGGTCTCAACTGCATTTCAGCCCCACGGAATAGATGTGTGTAACGCATCGCTCTACACTCCCCTTTGATTGAGCTCAATTAAAACTTCAAACGCCGTGACACGTAAAGGCAACGATGTGATCAAAATTAGACCCGAACCTAGCAGCTACATGCATTGCTCTACCGTTGCGATCTAATAAACACGCCAAACTTGAGCAAAACTTTGTCGAACCTGGGAACGTACTCGTACACGTCTTTAGACAGCTTCTTACATAGTCCATCTTGGAGAGTTTTATAATTCCAATCCGCCTTCCTCCAGATTGCAAACTTCAGTTTTTGGGGTACAGGCAGCTTTAACGCAGCCTTACCCAGCTTGTCATACAAAGTCGTTGAGATCCATCTCTCTTCAGCGATAACGTCGTCATCGGTCGTTTTTTCCTCAAATACTATAAGCATACCCCATACCCAATACATTTTATCAAAAATGTCAGTAATTTTAGAGTTCGGAAAATATTAAGGAAAATCTCTTGAGGAAGTCTATGAGCAAGATGCGTCATACTGTCGATGGTTATAGAACCAGCAAACAGAAGACTCTGATATCAAACGGTTTTTACAAGGTAAGTTCCAAGATGGAGATGATAGCTATATCATGCGGTGGGGCAAACATAAGAACAAATCCGTAAAGCGGATTGTTGAAAATGATACCCAATATTTCAATTGGATGTGTAAAAATGAATACATCAAGAATAAATATCCATCATTGAAAGAAAACTTGAACGAATTTGGTGTAGAATTAAATTAATCGAATTATTATTTTTTGTCTGAAATCTCCATTGTTCTCATCGTTGGGTACTATCCCCGGGTATGGTTTCCTTATCCCAAGGTATTCCAGTCTTATACCTGGGTATGGTTTCCTCATCCCGAGGCATTCCGTTCTTATTCATGGGGATGACATACTTATCCATGGGTATGCCATCTCCAGGTACTTAGGCAAACGTCGCAACGCTGAGTAGTTCGTATACTTATACTGGATCGATTAGTCTTTTAACAACTCCTTCGTTTTTGCTCGAACGGACATCTACTCGGCCGACTGCTCTTTTAACAACGCTTTCTTCTTAGCTCGAACATGTTCAATATCATCGTTGACTTCTTGAAGATCATATTTTGTGTAGCTGCCGTCTGGTGCGTTCATAATCCGCTCTCGTAGTGAAAGCAGAGAGCTCAACGTGGAGCCAAGCTGAGCAAAGCAGCAGTCTATCTCCAATGCCTCAGCAGAGTTGTTGCTACTCCGGATCGTCTCCAAAATTTCTAACACCATATCATCTTTGCTAGGGCTGGACCTGGATCGGGTGCACTTCCTCTTGGGCTCACTTGAACTCTCGCTTTCGCTGTCACTGCTTGTATCCATGGTTTGCAGCCGGGCGCGTTTAGGAAGCGTGCCTTCTACAGTCTCCAATACCCCGGGCTTGATGATTAGTCACTCGTGCATGTACAGAACGTCGATCTTCCCGGAACAAAAGGAGAAAAAGTCGTTGTCGTGTGTATCTGACAC